ACAGACGGGAGGAGGAGTCACACCCACACCACACCAGGGTCAGGAGCACAGACGGGAGGAGTCACACCCACACCACACCGGGCCGGGAGCACAGATGGGAGGACTGGCACACGGAGAACTTGCGACTCAAGGTATACGGTATAAAAACCACAGCAAATATAGTGAAATAATTCCTCAAGTATTAAGAAGCATCTCCATGCTGAGTCCTAGTACTTCTAATACTGCCACTAATCTCTACTCAAGACAATGTACTCTAAAGTCCAGCATATCAGAGCAACAAGCCCAGACAAGGCCTGGCCTAACACCAATGAAGAGAACCGAGACACTCTTATGGGGAATAACTGAGCTCCCCTCACGGCAAGAGTGATCAATCTCCTCCAAATATCCCAATCCCATCTCTTCATCCTCGGTGATAAAACCTTTCAATTAAAACAAAATGCAAACAGAAAGTGGGGGGAAACCAGATGCACTGGTTTCTAAATAATCCACCTGAACAGATACATGAGCTGCAGAGGGACGCTTATCCAACTACCTACATCAACGAGGAGGTCTGGGTCAATGCTGAACTGTCTTCCCGACAGCATAGCTTGGAAGTCCTCTAGGCTGCAGTCAATGCTGTCCAGGTAGTCCAACAGCTCGACCCTGAGGAAAAGAACGAGTTCAAAGGGAAGCGTCAGGCCTTCTCCATGTGACATTTAGGACCGGGGCTACAGCTCAGCAGCACAGGCACCTCCCTGGTAAGTGCAAAGTCCTGAGTCTGATTCCCGGTACCAAAAAGCAGAAACAAAAACAAAATCCATCTGACATTTAAATCATCACTGCTACTTGACTCAACAGAACACTCCCAACAACTCCTGGGTCCTTACCAGTTTTCAATCTTGAGATCCTACTCACAACTTAGGACCTTGAAAATGGGACTAAGAAATTCATAGCCTCCACACAAACTTCAGTATTTATCCTCTTGGAATGATTGTATTTCTGTCATTACCAGCCCAACCCTGCCCAGCAGAAGAGCAGAGCAGTGGGTCCATCCTCTGAAAACAAGCTCATTCGACAGCTAGACAGTGCGGTGAATGGGGGAAGCAGGCGATCTCAGACCACCACGCGATCAGCACTCACTTTCCCAGCAGGTTAATGTTGTCGTTGAGAATGGAGTCCATCATGGTCACGGGGTCTTCTGTGGTCAGGCTGGAGGACCCGTTTAGCTGGACAGCACTGGACATGAGAGGGCTGCTGCCGTCACTGCCTGGACTCGGGGACTCTCTAGCCGATTCTGTCTGCTCTCCGCTCTGAATGACAGGTGCATATTCATCTTCATTGTCGTCCTCAACAATGACAATGTCAGGGTACTGGCTGCAGCTGCATCAGTGGAAAAGAACCAATTACATTTTCAGACTGATTCACAAAACTGAATGTATCCACTAACTCGTGGAAACTCCCCAAACCGAAAGGTTTATCCAGTCTTCCGTTTCTTGGGTAAGCAGCTTCATCACAAGTACTGACACTTCACTTGATACAAGGTCACAGAGAAGCACCTATTTTAACAGTCCAAAACAAGAACCAATTCTTACTACATCTTTGCTGGTGTGGGGGGACTTTATCTGGCTGAAGGTCATCGAAGAAAAAAATTGGTTTCTTCACATTTAAGTATTTTCATAAATCACATTTCACAAACTCCTTACTTGGAGGAATCAGCAATAACATCCTCATTCGTTTCAGGAATAACTGGGACGTTTTCTTCCTCTGCATTATCATCAGTAACGTCATAAATGATGATGTCATCTGAAATCCTCTCCCTTTGCTTTAAACCTTCAGTCCTACTGTGTGGAACCTAAAATATGAGGGAAAAAACACATTGCAAAAGTTGACATCATACTGACTACCAAACTGGGCATCATTTAAAAAACAAGACACACGTATACTATTTCTCAAATGTTGGAAATACAACAGTAAGCAAAGCAGCTATGCCTTCCGCCCTTAGGGGACATATACACTAACTGGTATTAGCACTACCTATTCATAGAAGGCTGAGGTATATGATCTGCTCTACTTAGTTACTACTTTTACTGTGAAAGCAGTGTGTGATAAACCCAGGAATGTTTGCATGGAAGGTGCTTCAAGTTCTAATGTATTTATACCTACAAAATAGAAAGTCTGGGGACTTCAGACATTTGAAACATAATCAGATGGCCACTGTGCTGACAGGGATTATTTCACCTCAAGTGGCTTCCTTTGACAACTCATTCCTACTAAACAGCTTTACTAAAAGACAGACAGCAGCTGGGCGTGGTGGTGCACGCCTGTAATCCCAGCACTCGGGAGGCTGAGGCAGAAAGATCACTGTGAATTTGAGACCAGCCTGGGCTACAAAGTGAGCTCAAGGCCAGCCTGAACTGCATAGCGAGACTCTGTCTCAAAAAGACAAAAACAAAACAAACAAACAAACAAAAAAAACAGAAAAACCAGAAAAAGACAGAGAGCAATTTGGCTGTTCCACACTGCAATGTCAGCTTGGCTTTTTAAGCTACAGATACATTCATGACATAGTTCTATCAATTACAAAAAAGTTCAATTCTCAAAAGTAGGTTAAGATCAGTATTATAATGCAAAAAATCTATAAATTTCAACACTAGATCACAGAGATACAAGAGAATATGAATCCAGTTAAAACTCCTTGAACCCTACAAACACAATAGTTAAATATGCTTGACTATTTAGAAACAACAGCTGGAAGAGGAATCAGATATGAAGGAAATTCCAATGGAGGGTCTTGACAGTTCAGTAACAAATCTGAAGCGGGATTTCCAATTCTAAGATCTGAAAGTAACAAGGTTAGCCCAACAGTGGAATGCCTAGCATGGAGATGTGACCCTAGTGCTTCAAAAAGAAAAGTAACAATGGTAAGATGACTACAAAGAGGTCTGGACTTTGGACTAATCTACAACTGGATGTAACTCTGACAAATTATCCAAGTCCCCTTGGCAAAAATTAAATAAAACTATTTTGAAACTGCCAGAGGAAAAGTGGTGCTGATGCACACATATAATAGGAGTCTGAAGCAGCAGCCAACAGGAAAATGCGTAATCTTATTACATGATCATAACTGTATTACCATAATGTTCAATTTATACAGCACTTAAACATTTGTTTTATAAATCTCAAAAGTAACTGCAACTAAAAAGAGACACAGTGTAAAGTCACATATACAAAATGATTGCAGTTTTATGAAGTTTAGATATATGCAAAACAATACAAATACTGTTCCTAGATGCACACATATAAAACAGCCATGAGAGGAGAAAGAGAAATATTCATTCTCAAGACAGAAAGGAGAGAAACAAGCTTAGAAACAGGAAACGAGGACATCTGTCTTTATAATGACTTCTTACAAATAACCTAAAGCGAACACTGAAAGATGTCGCGACCTCACAGAAGTAGGGGATGAGCCCCTGCACCATCACTCGCTGAGCTCTGCATGAAACAATGCCACGATAGAATCTGTAGTCTGGTAGAATCAACACAAAACACATATTAAAAAATTACTTTGTGGTGGTGATTATCAGCTGGTTCTTTGACTATGTGTTGAAACAGATTCTTCTTTTGGGCTCCATTAGTGTTTAGAAGTAGAGGCCTGGAAATCAGAAGAAAATTCATGGGCTTCCATGGAGCAAAAATATGAGGAATTTAATTTTTTTTAATAATGTGCCCACTCCCAAGTACATTTTCATATCAAATAAAACACTGGTGCAGACACACAGGAGCAGGGCCGCAGCTCGGCGGCAGAGCACTCGCCCCGCGAGAGCAAGTCTTGGGTCGGGTCTCCACCTCCACAGAATCAGTCAAACACAGCAGCCGCCAGGGGCTCTCTTTAACATGATGCGTCTGGGAAATAAACGCTGCCTAGGACTTGCAGTTCTATTCTTCCCTATTATTCGTTAGGGTAAATACAATAAATTACAGACAAACGTCACTGCCTACTGAATCAAACAACTCTTTACACACTGTTCTTACATGGTTAAAAGAAACAGGGAACATCCTAAGAACTAGTTAGTGAAAGCAGAGGTGAAGCCACAGAGCTGCAATCATAATTAAACTTGGCCTACATCCTAGCCTTGAAGAGACAATCTCTTTCACCTTCCAATTATTCCTTTTGTCTATTACTCTTCTGGTTCAGCTGTGACGATGGCAGCTGCTGACATTTATAGGTATCACAACCTATGGTTGAGACAGAGCTTTTTAAAACCTATGAGTGGATTCAAAGTTAAGAGAGAAAATAAAATCTGATCTTTTTTCAATAAGTAAGCTTTTTTTGGAATTTCTCTCACATGATCCTCCTAACACTACTTTAAACTGCTAATATAACGAAAAATAGATGCTTTATTAACTGTATGTCTGCCTGTAAAGTGACGATTTAAGCTATTCTTACCTCTCAAAAACATCAAAAGATTGACAGCAGAACAAACTACAGGTTGAACATTCTTACTCCAAAATTATAAAATCCAAAATGCCTCAAAAATCACAAACTTTCTGAGCACCAATATGATACCATAAATGAAAGACTCCACACCTGACCTCAGGTGATCAGCCAGTCAGATTCAGGCACACGACAGTTTGTCAGACCCTCCTAGCCCTTTCAGGTGTGTTTGATACGTATTATTTCATGCATAAAATAGTAAAAATATTATATAACATTATCTTTAGGCTATGTGAATAAGGTGTGTATAAAACACGTCATTTCTCATTCGACTTAGAGCCTGTCCCAAAGATACCTCATAGATATAAATATCCCCAAATCCAAAAATATCTGAAATCCGAAAACACTTCTGATCCCAAAAATACTGAATAAGGAACACTCAACCTGCAAGGTCACTCTGGGGATACAAATATAATTTAACTAGGGAGGACTATTCTTTTGGTATATCAGGAACATACACAGGACTGTAGGCCATTTGTAGCTAAATCCTAAAATGCCTATGTATATGTCAAAATGTTTTAGCATAAACACTTACCTTTTACGTTTTAAACTCACAAGCTGGTTATTCTGAACCAATGTCACAATAAACTGGACAATCTGAAAGGAAAGTACCAATAAAAATTCTTCCACCATAAACTCTAATTCTTTACATTCCTAAGTCCTATAAAGTAAGTCTGATGACATATGTGTTCAATTTTAAGTCATACAATTTCCCACATGCTAACATTTGAAATCTGAATACATCTCACAACTGGGTACGAAGAGTCACATTAGCTTCTAGACAGCTCTTTGTTTTGATGACAATACCAAACTTGACTAACACGTCTGAACTTTTTATTTAAAATGTTTTCAAGAAGATTGCATTAAAATGCAAAATAAAAGTTGGTGTCTGACAGGCAACATTTTTCTTACACTAAGTAATATAATTACAGGCCAATGGAAGGGCCAATTCTCTCAAAGTAGATCATAAAACGTTAAGTTAGAGAATGTTTTCTGCCTGATACTATAAAGATTACTATTGAGACGTATCTGTCAAAAAAGCTTTTTACTCTCAATCAAGGACAGTGATTGAATCTTGACCATCTGATTGAATTTATAGGGAAAACTTTTGGACAAGTGAATAAACCTTCATATTTTATAGTAGTGTTCCTTTAAGTGTGGTCCACAACCTGGAAACAGTGGCCTAGGGAATCGCTATGCATGAAAATTTTCAGAAATTCCTGAACGCTAACTGGAGTTCAGAGCAGCTGAACCTTAGTAAGCCCTCCCGGTGACATTACTGTATGATAACCAGCGGTGTAGGGCACAGCTAGGTTGGTAATCATAAATCCTCCCTACTAATGTGCTGAACATGTTGAGACCATAAGGTAAACTATGAAGACCAGACAGGCAATGGACGAAGGCTGAAAGTGAGCAGAGGACCATGAGATTATGCAGAAGACGGACTTGAAATTACCATGTAATTACATGATTAAAAGAGTATTATGAATTAAGAAACCTACTGTTTAGTGCATTCCTCTCCGAAAGAGGCTTGCTTACTAAACTGTCTGCTCTACTGTCAATACCAAATATTCGAAGGACAAAAATGCAGACATTTTAACTGAAGAGTTAAGAGCCTAAAAAAGCCCCTAAATTGTTTATTCAAAAGAAAATGCTGCCAGCTGATGAACAGACATTAAAGCTTAAAGCACCTACGAAACAGCTCAGCTTTAATCTTCTAAAATCTGTAAGTGTTGTAGGAAAATTCTAGAAATGCCCGTCGTTAGATTGACGAGAACATGAGTCACTGGCTAAATTTACTCTCCACCTCAGCGCTCTGCACACCCTGCTATCACACTGTGCAGGGCTCTTCCTCAGAGGAAAGGACGGCACTTGTAGCATGCAGCTTCTGCACCTGAAGAGTTCTTTAACGAGTCTCACACGCATCTCACTGAATCTAAGGGCAAACTTTAAACAGTCAGGAACTAATTCCAAGGCCAGATTAAAAACTACAGGTTTTCAACAAGCATTATGTAACTCTACTCCTCAAAACAGACAGATCAAACTCAAAACTGACTATACATTCATTTTCATGAAAACTGGAAATGTAATACAACTATTTTACCAACTACCCTGGCTTTTAGGAAAAATATCTACATAGTATAGAATATTGTAAATTTACATTTAACCAAAATACTATTTTCTGAAATACTAACAGATTTCCTCTATGAAGTACAGATTAAAATGCGTGCAACATTTTAGATCCGATATTCTGAATCACATTCGGCATCCCAGTCACCTGTACAAGTTTGTTGAATACACAGCTCATGTGCTAACTCCACACAAGGACACAAGCACTGCACACGCAAGCACGGACTAGTAAGAGGAGACTCAAAACCGCCACGTCTCCGAGTACACAGCACTGAATCCCGCCGCACTCAGGCCTCATGCGCTCACTAATGCTAAGAAACCATCCATACTGTTCTCACTGTGAGCCCAGGGCTGCAACTGCTGCCCAGCCCCGCTCTGGCTCGGCCCCACAGCCCTAGGTACCAAAGCAGACCTCTATTTTTAGTCCAGGAACCTCCGGGGCCAGGAACTCTCAAAAGCCCCCACCTTCCCCTCTGGAGAATCTGCTGTTTACACTCGCATGTACTCATCGGAAAATACAGCTGCCCTGCCGCCCTTCGTGCTTTACCTCTCGTGAACAAAGGCAGTCGGTGAGTGAAGACGGACTCGTGGACACCGGCCGACAAGCCGGAGCGCCAACGCCACTTGCTTGCAGCACAGCTGTGCCAATGCAGGACTCGTTTCCCAGCACTCACTGCCCCTCTAACCAGGCTAGCTGTGTCTACTGCTGAAAACAGAGCTAAAAAACCCAAAACACAAGACTGCTCTACAATTTAAAAAAACACTGAAGAAACTAGTAGTGTAGTAAGCTCCTATGACTCAAGTACCTCAAAAGGTCATTTTCTACCGTAAGAGCTATATCATGTAGAAGGGTAAGATGACCATCTTTAGCAAAATGTTTCCATTATTGCTAAAAGGGATACAGAGCAGTTGGCCTAAGCTGCTCATATTTGATAATTTTAGTTCTGGGTATCCAAAACTAAGAGAAATTATTGACTACCAGCAGATTTTTCAGTCACACACAGTACTCATTCAACAATGCAGGTTCAGTCACAGCGAAAAGAGCTTCTTACCTTTCGAATAACTTGCTGCTGTTGTGCATGTTTTGCTCTTAATTCTGACACCTCCTTCCAAAGGGACTCATTCTCACTACAATTTATCAAAAATAAAAAATAAAGCCATAAAAAATCTAATCAGAAAACCACATCTCAATATCTTTAAGAATACCAGAGAACTGCACTTGTTTTTACTATACCACCTCTTTTTGTAAGACTAGGAAACAGCACTGATTACCCAGGAATAGCAACTATCCTGGCATGCTTCAGAATCGCTTATCTGCAGGATCTGCTACCCAGGGCAATATATATGCAAAACTTCAGATACATACCTACATCCACACACTAGTAGGCGATTTACTCCTTTTGACAGTCTGGTTCATTACTACATGTTTAAAGATAAGCTAACCTTTAAGGTATGGCTACCAACTCAGCTCTGACCTTGTGACTCAGTTCAGGAAAGAAAAGCAAGAGATGTTTATCCATGTGCTTGGTATGTTCCAGGTCTTAAACATTTTATGTGTTCTACTTATTTAAACTTCGCTATAAACGGCCAAGAAACGAATCACTGCATTTTATGAGTGAGGACCCTGGAGTTCAGAGAACTGAGGAAAAAGGCCCAGTATCATATAGATAATTCTCTATTGATGTCAAACTCAATTATACGTCAGACTCTAAAACTACTGTAAGACCTGGGTCAAACACAAGCATATGCAAACTATTACAATATGCTTTATTTAAAAATAAAAAATACATCCATGGATATAGCAAACTAATAACCTGCCAATATTAACAGCTTCTTTTCCCTCATTTATTTTTGTAACTGAAACTTCAATTAAATATTAACTATTAGCAGAGCTGATATGCTGAGGTGCAGAAGATAAACCAACTATCAAAAGTTTTAATTTCCAGTATTCTGAAAGTCTTCACAAAAGCCATCATCTTTAACCTGGGCTATTATAAAAATGACTATGGATTTATATACACAGGTGGAGATTTTGCTAGTACTTAATAACTACTATTTTTTTTTACTTATATTTAAAGATGAGTTATCTGCTTATGAGCACAGGAGATAAGACCTGAAAGGATAATTTGAGAATCCATTTCCTGAAGGGCTAAACTGAGATGCAAAGAACTGGATCAACGGAAAGCGGGCAGACGAAAAAGGAATAAACAGCACTCATACAAAATATGAAAAACCGGAAAGCATAATGCCTACTGCGAAGGATTCAAATTCCAAGGTCACTTTTAATGATGCTATTGAGTCAGTAATAATGAATGTCCCACATTTAAAATGGGAGAAAGAACACATGAATAAACCATCCTCAAGCCATCGCCAATTACTGAGGAAAAATACCAGCTACTTAGTGAGAAGAGTAAAATACAAGTTATCACCATGGCAAGTTAGCAAAATGCTACCAAGTAAAGCAGTAAAACAAATAAAGCCGGGGCTGGGGTTTAGCTCAGTGGCACAGCACCTGCCTGGGAAATTCAAGGACGTGAGTTCGATTCCTAGTACCGGAAAAAAACAAAAACAAACAAACAAAAAACAAAGACACTTTCTGAAGATCAAAGACCACTTTCCCAGGCCTGCATGAAGTATGAAGTAGGGCAGCCCTCTTGTGTCCTTTCTTTCCTATTTCTCCTGTCCTACTTTTTCCTGAGCAGTAGGCCACACAGAGGAATTTTAAGAAACATCCGTAAGTGAAAGGTTGGGTAATATGTAGGATTTTTTTAACGTGTGCCCTCATTTGTGTGAAAACTTACCTGAGCAGAATTATGTTTCTTAAACTAACATAAAGATCTGTTAATGTTTCGTCAGTAAGCTTACATAACAAGTTATTTTGATGTACTTATTTTTATATATTCTTTTGATCACTGCAATTAAAACATACAATTAGGGTAAAGTCTATGGCAACCAATCAGAAGGGAACCAACACTTGCAGAAAAATGATCTTTGATTTGGCTTCAACAGTGACTATTTAAAATATCATACAACCTTCAACCCCCTACATATACTTTCTATTTGGAAATACTTTACCTTTTTAATTCTGAAAGCCTGGACTCAATAGTTTCTTGCTTTATTTGAACCTTCTGAGCACTACTTATTATTTTCGTTAAATCTTCCTGACGAATTTTATTATCTTCTGGTTTTGAAGATGAAACCTTCCAAAAAACAAATGCAGAAAATCAAACATACACTAAACACCCACAATTACAATTCAAACCTAAAAGATGATTTTGCAGCCTATTGAGAAGTGAGATCTGGTTTCAAAAGCCCAGGACAGAATTCTAGGGTGAGAGGAACTTCTCAGCTCAATCCAAGTGGAAGCAAGGAATAATCATTCAAACAGCAGTTAAAGTTCCCACAAGCAGGAACACCTTAGGGTCCTTCTCGCGTCCCCATTCAGCCAAACTTCCCATAATTCCCCCAAGTTTCATTAACTCATTCCACACTTAATTTAACGTACCACACAGTACCATTCATTAAGCAATGTGATAGAGCACGCCCGCTATGTGTAAGGGACTCATTCTGGACACACAGGATGTAACAGTGAACTACACAGGAAAGTTCTCTATGGAGCTGCTATTCGAGCAAAAGCTTATTTTTCACATGACTCAGGAGGAGTGATCCGTCCGACTACAACGTGTGGCTCTCCCCTCAGTCACAGTGCTATGAGCATTCCCTTCCCTGTAGACGTGTTGAGGAGCCCGGGCAGAGCTGAGCATGGGATAGGGCGGGGTGTGTGTGTGTGTGTGGTGGTGGTGATGCACGCACACGTGACACAGTTCAAGCGTTCTGAGTCTAATCCGTCTCAGCAAGAACACCTGTGCATTCGTGTGCCTTCTTGATTTCTGGCACGTCAATACTCAGATAATTTACATTAACAACGCCTCACCTTCCTTTTAATGTTCTCCAATAAGTCATCCTGGCCTTGTTTGAAGTAAGGGTGCTGAAATTCAACAGGACCGTCTCTTTCCTGCTTTACAATTCCAGAGTCGATGTGCACTACTTTACGGAAACCATCTGGAAGAGATTCAAAATTCACACGACTAAAATGGGCCAAAAGTTAAACATAAAGGATGCTAGCTGCAAATGATTCCCTCTATCATCCGAACAAGAAGAAAGGCTTCATCAAGCACCACAAAAAAGTGGCTGCCCATACTCACACATGTTCAGCTGCCTCACAAAGCTCGCCATGTTATTGTGCTTGAAGTATTTGGGAAGAATTTCTTTTGCAAATCTTTGTTCATCCAAGACCAAAAAACTCTGACCATTCTGAAGAGAAACCAGAGAAGGTCAGTTAGTTGAGGCCCTCTGATGTACAGTCAGACAGGAGTTCAGACCCTGCAGCCCTGAGATAGCTTCACACAACTCTACGCCCAACGGTGGCAACAAAACCAAACTGCAATACAGTGCCAAATGGCAATGAAACTTTCTGATGTTAACTGACCTCTAATGGAAAGCAGCAGCACGTCCTGTAGTATTACATAAGAAAAAGAGAGGGAGTAGTTAGCACGCAGGAGGCTGAGGAGCAGGTTTGCTGCCAGTTCCAGACCAGCTGGGCCTATGCAGCAGGACTCTATCTCAGAAACCACACACAAATCAAAATGAAAGTAAAAACTAAACTGGAAACTTACTACTACAAAAATATAGTAATCAAAACACCATGGAACTGACATAAAGACAGACATACGGATGAATGGGAAAAAACACAGCCCAGAACTAAAGCCTGTCAGGGTTTTTCCCAGACTGACACAATGACCATCCCATGGGGAAAAGCAGAGTCTTCAACAGCAGGTGCTGAGAAAACGAGATCTTTACATTCGAAAGAATAAAGTAGGGCCTGCGCCTGACACCATCTATAAAGACTAACTCAAGGAGAGTTAGATCGAGGAGCTAAACAAGCGCTAAGATGATAAGAATTTTAGAGAAAAATCTTCAAAACGCTGGCTTTGGCAATGATTCCTTGGACATGACACCAAACTATAGGCAATGAAAGCAAAAAAACAGACATATAGAACATCACATTTTAAAATTTGGGGACAAAGAACACTAGCAATAGTGTGAAAAGGCAACCCACAGAAAGGGGTAAGAGATTTGTAAACTGCACCTGGTATATACCTGTTACACGAGAACTACAATTCAAACACAAAAACAAAACCAAAAACCCAATTCAAAATATCAATATTTAACCAGCTTTTGGTATTTCATTGTTACTGAGATCTATTTTCAAAATAAAATTTGTTCTTCATTAAAAATATATATAAATAATTAAAATGCAAAATAAAAGATACATGTGGAGGTGGGGGGACAGCAGGATGGGACGGGAAGGGGACGTAAAATGATTAAGATATGATATGGCTATGTAACAAATCTCTAAGATGAATGTAGTTATTATGCATCATAAACATATACTAGTTCAAAATATATCATACCAAGCCATAAAAAAGGCAAGTTAATTCCAGTACTCTGGAAGGCTGAGGCAGGAAGACTGCAAGTTTGAGTCTAGCCTGGGGAACTTGGTGACCTTGTCTCAATTATTAAAAAAATAAAAAGGGCTAGAGATGTAGCTCAGTATGAAGGCCTTGGGTTCAATCCCCACTACCATCAAGAAAAGAGAAAAAAGAAAAGAGCAAGGGACTTGAACAGACATTTCTCCCAAAGTAAAACAATTATCCAATAAAGATACGAAAAGCTACCCAATCTCACTAATCATTAGGAAAATGAAAATCAAAGCCACGATGAGCGTCTACTTTGCAACTATTAGGATGGCTGGCTAACAGCAAAAGAGCAGAAGTTAAGTGCTGGTGGAATGTGGACAGACATGAACCTTGTGAACTGACACACACAATGTGGCTGCTGAGGAATACAGTGTGGTGGTTCCTCAGAAACAAACACAGGATACTACACGCTTCAACAAGTCCCACTCTAGATACATACTTTTTTTTTTTTTTTTGAAACAGGGTCTTGCTGTGGACTCCAGGCCAGCCTTAAATTCAATATGTAGCCCAGGCTGGCCTCAAACTTGTGACAATCATCCTGCCTCAGCCTCCCAAGTGCTGGGATGACAAGTATGTGCCACCATACCAAGCTTTTTTTTGTAGCTGTAATTTTTTAAAAGCCAGAATTTGAACGGATATTTATATCCCGTTTGCAGTAACATTATTCACAATAGCTAAAAGAGGGAATCAACCTAAGTGGCCATCAAAAGAAGAACATTAAAGAACATGTCCTATAAACATAAAGTGAAAGATTATTTAGCCTTATGAAGGAAAAAAATTACAACACATGACACAACACTGATGAAGCTACAGAGATTCTGCCAGGAGATTCAGTCACAAAAGGATAAACATGGCACAATTCTACTTTTATGAATTATCCAGAAAAGCCTATTTCCTACAGGCAGAAGGGTGCTTACAACAGGCTCAGGCAGGAGCATGCTGGCAGGGCCCATTGTATCCTGTCCAATTTCAGTCTGAAGAGAGGAAAAGTTCCTGCAGAGGGACGGTGGTAACGGCTGTACATCAACACAAATGCACTACCACCAATGGTAGTGAAGTGAACACTCACACAGTGCCTAGAATGGTTACTTTTCTTACATACATCTTCCCAAAATTAAGAAAGTGGCCATATTCACACTTGAAAAGGGAGGACTGAACAATTCAGTAACAGTGCTAGACAGCCAAATGTACAAGAAACAAGGAAATCAGATCCGTTCAACTATCCACAAAAATCACTTCCACATGGATCAAGACATACACAAAATGCACATTTTTTTTCAATACAAAGAAAGTAAATTATGTTTTCTCCTTTGGGTACATAAGAAACTACAACACAGTAAACTGAAAGAACACGTCTTGAAACTACAACACAGTAAATGATGACAATTATAGAACAGTAGATATCAAAAATAAACTGTGAAACAATGTAGGATCTCCGAGAAAATATCAAAATAGAGGCTATAAGGAAATGTAGCACTGTAAAGCTGTTAACTCCTCCTAAAATAACTAATACATTAAGGTCTCTTAATTAAAAAAATTTTTTAAAGTACAGAGGGAGAGATGTCATCACAACCAATTATTAGCTACTCAAGTTTTATTTGTTAAAAACATTAAAAACCTGAACCACACTAAAGACTAATATATTATGCCAAATTTACAAACTGCTCATCAAAAAGTAAAAGATAAGCCAGGAACTAGGAGAAACTGAACATATATACTCAAAAAATGATGCTATACAGTGTAAGGAATGCCCACAAACAAAAAAGTAGGTAAAACAAACATTTCACAGGACACAAATGGGTAAAATATGTAAGTATACGTATATGTGTGTGTGTGTGTGTGTGTATACACACACACATATACATGAGAAACATCAAATCTCATAGAGCTAACATTTTATATCCACTAGATTAGTAAAAATTAAAAATGATGAGAAGTCCAGTTTGAAAAGGTGGGTCAATGGCAAATCTTTGCTTGGCTAACAGGAGGAGAGTCAGCTGGTTCTTTTCTAATTGGGAAACACCATGGGCTGTCTTGAGGTTAAAATCGCCACAGCCTGTTCCCCAGTCATACACAGCCCTCACTGACTCTGGCTTATCCCAGAGGTGCACACCTTACACCGTTGATGGGGCCTTTCCTGAGCTACTTGTTCATTCAACTTCCATGACTGACTCCCTTGATTTCCTTCCTGGTCTCTTTTGCTGGCTTTTCTTTGCCTTCATAATCTCTAAATTTTCAGCTCCTTTTGTCTTCTCTTGTCTTCCCAGATGACTTCACTCAGTCCCACGACTCTGCCACTGGTGAGCTCCACACTCCACCCTGAAGGCTCGTCACATCCAACACCCCGTCACACTCCCACTTGGACATCCTCAAGCACAGAAGTCAGTCCAGCTGTTGCAAGATTCCTGTTCTCCACACTGTGCTTCCCCACCCATTCTGAAAGCAGGTGACCGCGTGAGGGAATGTGCTCATCGAATGCAAGCACAATGAACCAGCTGTCAAACACAGGCTGGTATCCTTAGTATCAAAATGCCTGGCACGTTGATGTTTCAGATGGAAGATTTAAAAAAAGACTGGAACAGATGCACAGACTTTACTGATTTGGGAAGCCCTGATTTCAAAAACCTACAGAAAGTTTCAGACTTGGAAGATTTTGGATTTCCAATCAGGTATGCTCAACCTGTAATACTAGTGATGCAGGCCCCTTTAAATTTAAAAAGTGGCCAGCAGTATCCCCAGCTAACGTTTTTCCTAATCTTTCCCTCTCAGCAAGGGGATTTGCCCTGCTGCTCAGGTCAAATCTATGAGTCATTCTTAGCTCTTTGCTGTCCCTCCTCCAACTACTGCCAATTCTACTGCTGCTAGCCTACTCTCAGCCACCACTACTTCCAGCACCATACTGGAAACGGACCATCTTCTAACCGGTTTCATTTCACTCTACCACCACCACGAGGCCTGCTCCTGCCTTTCGGCATGCTCGCACACTCTCCTCTGCAGGGCTCCTTTCCTTCAACGCACCACACCCCAGCCTTCTCGTGGGCCATCCCCTCCGACCTACACAGGCTAATCACTCAGGCCTGCTCAAATGCCACCTCTGCAGAAAGGCTGTCCTCTGCATCTTCCGAAAATATTCAAAGTCCACTCAGTTTATGTACCAATTATCAACTTATTGGTCTGAAATTTCATTTACTATGTATTCTGGAAACATGGAACAGGGCCCCTTAAAAACTATCTTTTTGTAACTGCCTTGATGTCAAGCTTTGTTGGTGGAGTATCCTGGAAAGAGAAGACAGGAGGAAGGTGTTCTCAGTCGCTCAGTCTCTCAGTAGCAGCGTGTCCTTGGAGGCTGCTGCAGTGTGAAGAGGCTCTCCAGCACCTTGTAACACCTAAGTGGTCAGCATCAACTGCAGAGGGGAACTCTCCCTGTCACTCTCGCCACCCTGGGAGGTTTCAAAGCAGTATCCCTACAAAACACCTTCCCAACCACAGCTTTCTCGGGTACTCTAAAGCAGGCACTGACAAATATATATTTGTCTTGAAAGGCAAATATATATTTCAGTCTTGCTGATTTTAAGGCCATGACTCTACCTCTGCAGCAAACAGCAGCTGGAGAGTAAGGAAGCGGAGGGCATGACCAGGCTCCAGCATTCCGGCTCTGGCTCTCCAACCCCTCCCCGGAGCTGCGAAGGATGCTGAGGTCCAGTGCAGCTCAGTGACTCCTCCGCTGATCGGAGAGACAAGGCCACCCTGTCACCAATGAGGCCAGGAGCTTTGCCTCGGGGGAATCAGCTCCTCCGTGGACACTATCTGAGCCCTATCAAGAGGGGCATGTCCATCTACCTATCCCTATACGCTGGCTTTCCTCACTCCAACTCCTCTGACACAGTTAGCAAGTCTACCAAACGTCCCCTGTTAAAATTATAGGAATTCTGCCTTCTGACTGGATTGGACCTGATACAATCTGTTTACCCTGTTTCATTTCCTATAAAGTACTTATCACTACCCGGAGTTGGGTCTGCTTACTTTTAGGGGTGCTCTCCACTCGAACCTAAGCCCCAGGAAGACAGGCAGTTTAGTCGGCGTCACTGCTCAATGAACATGTGGCACACAGCACAGTGGTCCTACAGATCAGCCAGTACTTACGACTAATTCACTACATGAATCTCTGGCCGAGCGGGCTAGGTAACATTTTCAGAATTTCAACTCTCAGATTCTATCAACTGAGAAGAAAGTCTTGCTTCTCTCTGCTCTTTCTCACACACTGGCCTCAACCACCTTCTCACACTGTCTCCACTAATGGTGTCCCTTCCATCCGCATTCCGGTTAGTCATGGAACTAAGTGCGAAACCTGCCCTCACTGCCACAAACCTGCGAGGCTCCAGCAACACTACACGCAGCTCTCTCCTCTCCTGAAACATTACACCAAGGGCAGAAGCCCTGAGAGCCCCTTCCTTTCAAGCCTTCTCCACAAATGTTGGCAAACTTCTGAAGAGTGGCACAGCTGTTACTGCCCACGTAACCTTTCTGCGCTCCTGGAGTACAGCGCTCACAATATTCTCACTAGTATCTAATACTTCAGCCTCATTATTTGAAAACATTTATCAGAACAGAAATTTGTAGCTTTAACAACCAGTTTATAACGTAATGTTCACCATTTCTTCCAAGTCTTTTCTCTCTCTTACATATACAAAGGAGCACTCCAAGAATAACCTTTTCAGCAGGCCCACCTAAGATTAATTCTACCACCATTCTTTCACACTTGTGGCCTTTCTTGTTTTCACTAGGAATACCAAAACAAAGCTGCGGTTGCTGGGATGTCCAACACAGTAACACAGCACACTGGGTAGTCAGTCTACGGGCAACAGCTCAAACGCATCCACACAGCCAGAGCATGCTGGAGGTCTGGCTGCATTCCTTCTCCCACTTCCGATTCCTCTCTCCTGATCTGAGAGGAAAAGAACAGATGAGAACAGCAAAGAGCGCGCAAGGTGGAACAAATGGGTATGAGGTCATTAGTGGGGAACAGCAGCCTTCCTAAGCAGTCCTGAGAACTCAGACAAAAGAAAAAGCACCAAAAACAATGACCTTCCACTTCTTCCTTTTTTTTTCAGTAGTGCTTCACTGAGCATATGCTCATTATCAAGTTTCAACAGTAAAAGTTGTTTTTCCCTATGGAGGTAAAAACTTGCATCTAACCTCCATAACCTCTTGTCTCTCAGTATCAAGTTTCTCCAGTCGCTTCCAAGCTCAACATGTGCCTGTGCTTTAGCACCATGTTACAGTTAGGACGTGCTGCGGTTGTCTGAAGTGCTGTCTTTCTTCTTGATTATTGCAGCAACTGTTTACCAGAGCCAAGAATGGTACATTAAATCTTTAAGTTATGGAAAATGTTTTGAAAAAAAAAACTGGAGAAAAAAGGGAAACTTTTTGTTTTGGGATGAATACGGGAAAAACTGAAATACACACGGTATGTTTTCTTTAAAGACACTCCGGGGGCTGGGGATTTAGCTCAGCGGCAAAAGCGCCTGCCTGGCAAGCGCAAGGTCGTGAGTTCGGTTCCCGGTACCAGAGAAAAACCAAAAAAAAAAAAAAAAAAAAGACACTCCGAACCTAAGGACCTATATTTTGAGTCACTAACACATAATTCTGATCACTGAGAATATTATATCCCTATACCTAATGGTCAAAATGAACATATTTCACTTTTCAATTTTGTCACATTACAAATTTCAAAGACAAAATAAAAATACATGGTAAGTCTTCACAATTATTAAGCCAAGCTTTCCAAATTAAAGAGTTTTCTCTCTTTGCCTTACACTTAAGCCAGAGTAGTCAATTACCTTCCACCTACGGGAGGAAAAATGCCCCAAACACTGCCTCATACCCAAAACATCTGCTTCTTTTAAAAGGCCTTCATATGATTTTCACTGAGATAGTTTAAATGCTAAATTACATCAACCAAAGTTCAGCACAACCAGTTTGAAGGAAACCAGAAACAACCATAAACAGCGACTTTTAAAAGATGAGAGTAAACTGTTTTGGTTTTTCCATCTAACATCACTGTTTAATGTAACTCTTATCTCTCAATGTTAGCACTGCTCCTAGAAACATCTGCGGGAGAGCAAGCCTGAGAGGCAGCTGCCCTGCACACCAGGCTTCGCCCTAGGGAGACTGCCCACTGCCCACTGGCTTGCGGAGGACCACGCTGCTGCCCACCGGTTTATGAAATTCAGCGCAGCAGACGGAAGACCGATCTTGGAGCTCGGAGCTGTTTGTGACCCTCTCATCGCCCACCTAGGCCGGCTGTATAGTTATGGATAAGTAATCGAACCGGCCAACCCTGGGGTCCTCATCTACAAAAAGCATGACGCTAAACTGGCTGGAAGATCTCTAAGCTTCTTTTCAAATACAATTCCCACTAATTTTCAGGTATTTCACTGATTTATCAAACACTGACTAAACACCTACTCTCTCTAGGACAGTCACTGACTGGCTCCAGTTTACACTGTGACTGTCCTATTGGTGTGTTAAAAAGTGGGTAGTTAAAATACAAGCTTAGACTTAGTGGGATAGATAAAAAGAGTCACTTAGAATTAACAAAATTTATGCATTTATGGGTTTATACGAAACTGCACATTTGATCATGCCCAAGGAGTATGATATTAAAATACTTTGGCTGATCAGAGTACACTAGACCTGCTGCCGATATAGTATTCTTTTGTTCAAACCAATTACCAATATGTTTAGGCATGTTCGCTAGACAGCACAGATAAAGAGGCTGCTCCAACCCAACAAGGCAAGAAAACGTCAGCTCGGGGAGGAGATACGGCAGCCCAAGCTGCACAGGACCAGGTCTGCTGAGTAACGGACCGGCTGATCCATCCCCAGCGATGCTAATCCTCTGACTGATGAAAGGCATGAGACATCTGTTTATTTTAAGTACATACTAGTGGGTGACTCTCTTATTTTCACCTTTCATGGTACAGCTGTACAGAGTTCATCAAACGCTTCACACACACACACACACACACACACACACACAGGATCCCCTGGGGGTTTTGTGTGTTTTTAAAAAAATTTTTTGGTGCGGGCAATCGAACTCAGGACCTTGAGCTAGCCAAGGCAGGCGCTGTACCGACGAACCACATCCCCCTTGGAGTTTAAAAAGATAAACCGGCAGACAAGACCGACCTCAAAGAAACCTCAGGAAGAAGTTTAAATAAACAGATCACTCCGACACACGGCGAACGGCGTTACAATGGTCCAAACGGCCCGTGTGCGCACGGCGCTCCCGGTAGGACGAAGCAGGTCGCGCCGGAACCCCGCGCCGGGAAAGGCACGGGGCGGGGCCGCGCTCCGTCGGCGCAGGGCCGGGCGCCGCGCT